ATGGGAATTTGGAATTAACAAGTGGTCCCCAACCCACATGTATAGCACATGAGATTTGATTATAGTGGTGAAGGTTCCGTGCAGAACTATCCACACTTTTTGAAGGCCCGATTACAGAGACCTGGTGCACTACGTGCCACAAGGTCCCCAAACGACCCTCCGCAGGTTTTGTCCTTCTCCTAGACCAGTTGCCATCCAAGGCTATAGAACCCAGTCTGTCCTGCTATTTACCCATAGCTGGAGGGAAAAGAGGAGTATTCATACCTTTCGCAAGAGTATCAGCACGTAAGTGAATGTAATGGATTCGACTGGAACTCGAACTCGGCTCTCAGATTCTTCAATCCAAGCTGATATCCATTACTCCACCGTGCCTCCCACTATATATTGAATATATTCCCACTATATATTGAATGCAAATGCATTAGACATTATTCTGTTAAACTAACGTATTGAAGGATTAATTTATTAGCAGTTGTATTTTATTTATTTATTATTTTATTTATTTATTGGGGGGTGTATGAAGGATGTATTTTATTCGCTCGCGAATCACGTGACCATTAGGGCCGTTGAGGTGGTGTTTCTTGTTAGACTAACCCTCTCCTGAAAGGCTATAGAATCAAGTCTGTCTTGCTATTTACCAATATTCAATGTTTTTATTGAAGGATCAATTGGGGAGAAGAAGAGGATTCATGCATTTCCCAAGTAACTGAATGGGATTCGAACTCGTCTCATCGATTCCTTAATCTGAGCCGCTATCCATTATTCGCACCAGTGTAAAAGAAAGAAGCTATATTTATTGAAAAATGTAACTCAGGCTAACTGACGGATGTATTTATTGAAGGATCAATTTTATTTATTTGCCTTACTACCACAACATATTGAAACACCGGTTCCCGTTAAACAAAAGTTAAGCAACATTGAGCCTGGACTCTACCTAGATAGGTGATCGCCTGGGAAAACCAGGTACACTAAGCTATGATGTGCGGGTGATATCACGCCTAATGACTCGAAACTGTTAATCGAATAGCCGTTGGGTTAATTATATTCGCGCAAAAGCCATTAGGAATCCACCACTGTCCTCCTATCTGTTAAGGGGTCCACCCCTTTTTCATACAAGTGGACTCGCCTAGTGTGTACTTGTACTGCTGCCGATAAATATCCGGAAATCAGAGTCAGAAAGTGATACAGTGAGAGTTAGAGTGAGAGTGTGAGGTAACCACTTTGTAGAAGTCACAGTTGCGAGCACGTAGACTCAGAAGGAAGTCATACATCGATACTGAATTTCCCAGACTGTATATATATTATTATTGCTACTAACCGAATTTCTGGATCTACGAACCGTATTACCAATTGTATTATTGCATCAATACATTTATTTTCTATATTTCATTCCTGCGTTTGTCATTCATTTTGAGACAGGATTTCACCCCGGAATCAACAACACTATCTATGGATAAATTTGTAAAAATAAATATCACAAAACCGTTATAATCTCAAAATAAATAAAATTTCTTACAAAATGAAAACTAAAATGAAGTGCAATGGGTTGCTAAGCCGTAAAAAACAAATCAGTCAATGAATTTTATTTATTATTTTTATTTTATTCATTTATTGGAAGGTGTATTGGAGGACGTATTTCATTACCCCACACATAATCTTGAATAGAGTTGCCGTGTGGGGAGTTAGGTGGCCAGATGTAAGAGGTGATGTGGTCGCAGCTATGACTGGGTTCTCCAGCTCGTGTGGCATGGTGCAGAGTCCAGTTGTCAGATATAGGATATTCTAGCTGTCACCCTTTTGACCAAAGGAAACACTACTTCCACAAGGCAGTTGATTTAGGCCTCTGTGTTGAGTTTGTGGCCCTCCCCAACAAATCCGGGAGTTATTTTCTTATCAGAACTATCAGAGTGAGTTTTTTGGCACCTTCGTACTTTCGTAACCACCACTAGATTCATCCAGTTCTTTCCGAATCCACTGCATTGTCCCCAAATTGACATCTAAAAACTCTGAAATGTTCGTATTGAATCTTCCGACGCGAAGGCCAAGCATACAGCAAGCTGTTTCCAAATTTCTTGCGGAGTGTGTCATGATACACTTTTTCTCAGAGACGGTGACAAATTCACCCTACTATACGGTTCAGTCGATAAAATCAAAAACAAATAACGCGCATGCGCGAAATTAAAAATAAGATATAGCGTAAATTTCACTTGCATGCATGTTTGTGTAGATATAATTACGAGAGGTTGTAATGCGTGTTTTATGCTGTGTTTTTCTTGAAGTTATATTTTAGAATACAGTTTCATTTAAGAATTTGTAGGATATGATATGGCTGAATGTAATGAAAGTCTTTTTATGTTGGTTGTTTGGTAATATTTTAAACGGATTTGGGTGAAGTCGCTACAATTTGTTAGTATAATGCGTACTGTTGGTAACTCCCCTTTTTCATATAAATGGACTCGACCAAAGTGTTACTGGGACTGCTGCCGTTAAATAGCCATAGTTAGTCAGAATATACGGACGAGAGAGAGAGAGAGAGAGAGAGAGAGAGAGAGAGAGAGAGAAAGAGAGAGAGAGAGAAAAAAAAGAAGACTGAGATTGAGTTGGAGTTAGAGTAATAGTGTGAGGTAACCGCTTGTAGAAGTCAGTTACAAGCACGTAGACTCTAAGGAAGTCCTACTTCGAGAGTGTATATATCTAAATGTTATTGCTACTAACCGCGTTCCTGGATTTACTAACAGTATTACCCTTTGTATTATTGTGTAAATACTTTTTATTTTTTATACAGTGTAACCCGGATATAAGAGACCCGGATATAAGAGAAACCCGGATATAAGAGAGATTTTCTCTGGTCCCAAAGTGTTCCCATACTTACCTAAACAAAATAGACCAAACCCGGATATAAGAGAAACCCGGATATAAGAGACTTCTTCTCCGGTCCCGACAACTCTCTTATATCCGGGTTACACTGTATTTAATTCCTGCGTTTGTCATTCATTGGAGACCGAATTTCATCTTGGAATCCACAACAGTAACATTTTAGAGAAAAATGTATTGCTGGTACTGCCACTATAAAATAAATACATTTATATACTTTTATAGTTTTGTTTGTTTTTCTTATGTGGGTAGGGGGGTCGCTATTTGCCCATAGCTAGGATCCTAACAGGTTCTACTACCACGAATTAGGGTGGACCTGAGAACAACAGTAATTAAGTGGTGGTTCCACGTGCCGCAAAAACTTCAATTTTCCAATCTGAGGCCTGGCTGCCGGATGTAGTTTATCGTCATATACAGGACTACTTAAGGTAGAAGTTTACTGAATAAAATGTGTGATATGAATGTAAAAGTAGGATTTAGGAAGGGAGAATAAGAAGCACAAGAAGGATATATATCTGTTGACCTTTGACTTGAACAGACCAAGATTGAAGTGTTCAGGAAAGCATCCGCGTGAGAATCTTTTTCACGAAGTCGCAGTTGTTGAAATACGGAGGAATTGGAATTGATTCAACTCGCTTTTGACTATATGGCGTGAGCCTTTGCTATAAAACATTGGCAATATATCAATCCATAACATCTTACCCTAGATAAGGGTTAATAACAGGCAGACCAGAATTTCCAGCTTTAGATGGTAACCTGTATAACTTGAAAATAAATTTGAGAATAATCGAAATTAATTGCTAAATCAAGCGAAAGTCACCTATGAAATAAAACTAATTGTTTGTACGGAAAGTAAGTACCTGAATACATTAAATTGTCTTTAAATTAAGTGGCGGCAGAAGAATTATCGTTGAACTTTTAAAAGGTAAGATTAAATATTAATGGAATACTTCAATGCAGTAAATTTGTGTTCTGTAGTTTATCGCATCTACTACTCCCAATCTGATGAAAACCAAATCAAGAGCCCTCCGTGGGAGCTATCTTAAATGCTTATATATATATATATATATATATATATATATATATATATATATATATATATATATAAGGGGAGCGATTAAGAAATTGTCGTCTAAAATACGCCAAATGAAAATAACATTTACATCTCATTTAACAGATATATTTACAAAAAATACGCAAAGATATCTTGAAATAAGAAAGAGTAGCTTTATTGGATAAATAGATTGATAGAAAGAGATAATATTAGTAGTCAACATATATATATATATATATATATATATATATATATATATATATATATATATACATATATATATATATATATATATATATATATATATATATATATATATATACATACATAAATATATCTATATATAAGCATATATATCTATATCTATATATATATATATATATATATCTATATATATACATATATATAGAGATATATATCTATATATATATTTTTACATATATATATATATATATATATTTATATATACATATATATATATATATATATATATATATATATATATATATATATATATATATATATATATATATATATATACATATATATATATATTTATATATATACATATATAAACGTCTATATATATACATCTATATATATATATATACTATATATATATATATATATATATATATATATATATATATATATTCTCTCTGAAGGTGTGCTATATTTCTGGATAAAGTACTAATATCAGAGATAGAGCGTGTGTAAATATAAAGTGAACATTGAAGTCAACACTTAGAGGCGACAGGTTGTTTCATACTAGACGCAATCGGCAGCCTGTCGCCTCTAAGTGTTGACTTAATGTTCATTTTTTTATATATATATATATATATATATATATATATATATATATATATATATATATATATATATATATATATATATATAGCTGTTATTCCTTTTCTATTTAAATAAAAGACACAGGGTAGAAAGTGGAACCAGATGGAAAGGTTTCCAACTTTCATTAACATTTCTAAAGAATAAATAATCGCTAGGCAAAAAAAAAGTCATCTTGAACTAAATTTTAATTTAATTGTTTTGTACTTAATTGTTTCGTTCTCAGTAAAGTGGAATATTCTTATTTAATTTGTAACTTTTCTCCCCATCTCCCCATCTCTCTCTCTCTCTCTCTCTCTCTCTCTCTCTCTCTCTATCTATCTATCTCCCTGTCGCAATATTTGCTTATCTATCTATCTAAGGAAAACGTTCAATTCAAAACCGACTGTGTTTTGGAGGAGAAACTCCAATGTGAAAAAATCTAGTCTCGTGAATTTGTGGCGATATAAACCACGGGTTAATTCTCATGGTCAACAGCAAAGTATTGAACAAATGTGCAGTTAGCCTAACTGTTATCGTGGATTCGGTGTAAATCTTAAAGTGAATTTGACGATCCGAGTTCAAATTCCGCCATGGTCGGTAGGCTGCGCTTCGTCCCTCATTTTTGACGAAAGTATGAATCATGAAATTTCTAATCAGCTACAAGTTAAATAACAGAGCTGTACGAGACATTTAGCCTTGACTTTCAGCAAATCTAGAAGAAAGTCTCTGCATGTAAAATCGCGAGTAGACAAAAGGAACCATTTTCACTATTTTCATGGAAGCTGTGGTTTATTGTCCTCATCTTTGTCGCCATATTTTTTACAACATTTCGTCCGTTGTACGCTCCGGCCTTCTTCCGGTGTCTGGAATGTCGAACTGAACCCTTTATTTCGCTCAGTGGGGTAGACTGTTTTTAGTTCCACAAGAGGAGGACAACAACACTCAGAAAACGGTCTGCCTGCTTTATTCGAATGGATTATCAGAGAAAATACAAAGTGTCATGATGACATCTCGATGACATTTGATGACATCTCGTCGCCAGTCTAGCCCTACACTTAAATTAAAAATGTCTACGTTGCATAACGAAAAGCTCATTCGAACAATTACCATGGAAGTATTTATAGAAAAGACACAGAGAGGCAACCTTGCGGCGGTGGGAAAGAGTCTGAAGCCGGGCTGCCAGATCATGACTAATAATATAGCCGACCTGCTTTGTTACTTACTTTAATCAATGACGTTCCCAGTGTCATCAACTCGGTATTTATACTGTTTACACAACTGGTTCCTTTTTAATAGAAAGTCCAATGAAGTACAACTGGTAGCTGATCTTGAAAATAAACTTCTATCAGTTGTTAACTCGGGCAAGAAATGGCTTGTAAATTTTAAAGCGTTCGACACGAAACTGTTATGTTACAATCATCGTAGATATCTATTTTTTTCTTCGAATTGCATAGTTAATGCTAATCTCCAGGAGAAAAAGTCATTGCCCCTTAACTTAATCTACGGGTGTAGACTGTTCTCGTCCCGCTGCTTATGTACCGTCAAGTTCTTTTTATATTCACTACTGTTCATGAGCAGAAGTAGTTGCAACCTAATCAGCAGCCAGCTTCTGTCTAAGGCTCTAAATTCACTAGAGTATATTGTTCCGTAGGTCAATGTACTGAAGTGAATTTAAAGAATTCTAGACAATGGTCTAGTGGATAAAAGTGTTGCTTAGTGAGTTTTGTGACATAGTGGTTGTGAGTTCAATCTCTGTGTCGGGCTATGTGTACTTGGAAACGGTCGAGCAGTAACTAAACAGTACTAAATAAAATAAGACTTTAGAACAGTCCACCTCGTAGAATAAATAAACGGTTCAGTTCAGAATACGCTTTAGGTTACCAGATTGATATACAACTGAAGAATGCCCAAGCGGATAACGGCCGAAACGTTGTAATATCAACAACAAAGATGCAGACGCCTTTATCCACTGTGCCATGTGTCCTCAACGTCACATGGCACAGTGGATAAAGGCGTCAGTTAGATCCAGTGACAGGAAGCAAAAGAGTGTGAGTTCAATAACCGGCTAAGGGAGTGGATAACTTTCAGAGGGAAATTAACAGGAGGTAACTGATAACTGATATCCATTAAACATGGTACGTGGAACGAGAAGTGGGTATCCCAGTGAGCGAAATAAAGGGTTATGTTCGACATTCCAACCACCTGAAGAAGGCCAGCGTGTATAACGGCCGAAACGTTGTAATAAATATGGCGACCAAGATGAGGACAATAGTCCGAATAATGTAAATAAGGATAATGTATTTAACATATATTTTGTATTTTCAAACATAATAAAATTGTCTAAGAAAAATTGATTCACGACCATTCACCACTTCAACTCGAGAGAAATATTTGAAATATTTAAAATCAATTTGCCGTGTCACGTTTCGTTTGCCCTGCGAGAGACGATTGAGAAATTTTTAGGCTGACCAAGACACTCATAAAATGTGAACAAATGAAGTTTGTTTTTCAACATCGTTTCCTTGCTTTCGATCCACACAATATTTTCATCGGCACTGCAAAGATTCGATCCCATTGGCGAGGAAGATTTTATCCTGTTGGTAAGAAAAATCATCAACTGCAGATATGAAATCATAATCACTGCGATATTCGTTGCCAAACTATTTTCTTTTCATGTTGTGGAACAGATAGTCGAATCGGCAGAATAAGGAGGTTTGGTTTGGTTTGTTTTGTTTTATGGCATATCAACCTCAATGGGTTATTTAATGACGACAACATTTTTATAATAGATTCGTATGAATAGAATATATATTCTTTGGTTTAGATTGGTTTGGTTTGTTTTGTTTAACGGCATATCAACCTCAATGGGTTATTTAATGACGACAACATTTTTATAATAGATTCGGTATGAATAGAATATGTATTCTTTGGTTTAGATTAGTTTGGTTTATTTTGTTTTACGGCATGTCAACCTCAATGGGTTATTTAATGGTGACAACATTTTTATAAAAGATTCGTATGAATAGAATATGTATTCTTTGGTTTAGATTGGTTTGGTTTTTTTTGTTTAACGGCATATTAACCTCAATGGGTTATTTAATGATGACAACATTTTTATAATAGATCCGTATGAATATTCTTTAGTTTAAATTGGTTTGGTTTATTTTGTTTAACGGCATATCAACCTCAATGGGTTATTTAATGCCGACAACATTTTTATAATAGATTCGTATGAATAGAATATGTATTCTTTGGTTTAGATTGGTTTGGTTTGTTTTGTTTTACGGCATATCAATCTCAATGGGTTATTTAATGCTGACAATTTTTTTCCTGATAATTTTTTTTTTCCAAAACTCTATTTCTGGTAATATTTTTTCCAAAAAAATGTATAGCTGGTAAAATAATTTAAAAAAATGTATTGCTGGTAATATTTTTTTTTCAAAAACGTATTGCTGTTAATAGTTTTTCTTCTTCAAAAATGTATTTCTGGTAATAATTTTTACAAAGTATTTCTGGTATTAAAATCTATTTTTACACTTTCATAATGCTTTTTACCTCAGTTTTGGGGTTAACTATTTGCCCATAGCTGGGACCCTAACAGGTGCTACCACCCCGGGTCAGGGTGGACCTGGGAACACCAGCAATTAAGAGGTGGTTCCACGTTCCTCAAAGCCTCCTGATCAGAGGCCTTGCTGTTGGACGTAGTTTATCGTCTTACCCTAAACGCGGATGTAGTTTATCGTCATACCCAGGACGGGAGAATAGGGAGGTTGTCAGCCAATTCAAAGCCACAGTCCCACACAGCAGCCATTAAACCCAAGGACGTATGCGCTGAAGTATTTTTTTTCATGAAACAAGACCCCCTTTTATCAGTTTTTCTGCATACCACACCATGCTGGCATAATATTCTCCATTGATGGCGCCACTTTTTTGAATATAGTCGACCAAACACAATGCCTTTGCATCCGAAAAATCTGAGGCCATCACCGGTCCTGCAGATGAAACGATCTTGACTTTCTTTGGGGCAGGCCAAGAGTGGTGTTTTCGCTGCCTGGGACAAAGTGATGAAGTCAGCACTCATCCGAGATTAGAGAACGTTCATGGAATCCAGTTGGATTTGCTTCAAACAATGCCAGATTTTCCAGTGATGTAATCCGCCCGGTGAGATTTAAAAGTGGCACCCGCTGAACAGAAACCTTCGTCATACCAAGTTCATTGTGCAGAATATTCTGAACTCTCTCACTCGATAACCTAATTGCACTGTGTATTTGATTTATAGTCAGTCATCTGCGAACAGGCTCAATGTTTTCCTAGGTTATGGCAGTTCTAAGACGTCCAGAGCTTGGGTCATCTTCAAGAATCTTCCGTCACCTCCAAAATTCAGCTGCCCACTTTTGAACGGTGGAGTCTATTACGTACTAATACCCTTGAGAAAGCTATGAATCCTTTCCTTCTTCCCCCAGCTATGGATAAATAGCAGGACCAACAGGCTTCTGTTGACTTGGATGGCAACTCGTCTACGGCAGAAAGTAATGGCAATTTACTGCTGGAAAAAATCTGCCTTGTCAGTCATGTATCGAAAGATACATGATCGCCTAAGCGTGTATCAAGCATCACCTATAACTGACTGATATATACATGCATATGATTATGTGCATGCATATATACATAGTCAAAATAGGGGAGCCGAGTTCGAATTCCAGGCGAATCCATTACATTCAGTTACGTGCTAATGCCTGTGTGAAAGGTATGAATTCTCTTCTCCTCCTCCACCCAGCTATGGGTAAATAGCAGGACAGACCAGCAACCGATCTACCGCAGAAAGAAATGGCAAAATACTGCGGGAAAAATCTGCCTCGTCAGTCATGTATCGAAAAATACATGATCGCCTAAGCGTGTAACACGCATGTCACATATCTGCCTGATATATAAACACTTAGCGTGTATCGCGTATGGCACATATCTATCTGATATATACATAAATATTTTTATCTGCATGTATATATACGTAGTCATAATAGGAGAGCCGATTTCGAATTCCAGTCGAATCCATTACGTTTAGTTACTTGCTAATACCCTTGGGAAAGGTATGTATCCTCTTGTTCTCCCCCAAGCTATGGGTAAATAGCAGGACAGACCAGGTTCTATAGCTTTGGTGGCAACTGATCTACTGCAGAAAAAAATGGCAACCTACTGCTGGAAAAAATGTATTGAAAGATACATGATCGCCTAAGCGAGTATCACGCATGGCACATAACTGACTGATATATAAACACATATATTTATGTGCATGTATATATACATAGTTAAAATAGGAGAGCCGAGTTCGAATTCCAGTAAAATCCATTACATTCACTTACTTGCTAATACCTTGGGATGGTATCAATCTTCTTCTCTCCCAAGCTATGGGTAAATAGTGGGACCGATCGGTAACTGGTCTACCGCAGAAAGAAATGGCAACCTACTGCTGGAAAAAATCTGCCTCGTCAGTCATGTTTCGAAAGGTACATGATCGCCTAAGCGTGTAACACGCATGTCACATATCTGCCTGATATATAAACACATATGTTTATGTGCATGTGTATATATATATATATATATATATATATATATATATATATAGTCATTATAAGAGAGCCGAGTTCGAATTCCAGTCGAATCCATTACATTTAGTTACTTGCTAATACCCTTGGGAAAGGTATGTATCCTCTTGTTCTCCACCAAGCTATGGGTAAATAGCAGGACAGATCGGGTTGTTCTATGGCTTTGGATGGCAACTGCTATACTGCAGAAAAAAATGATAACCTACTGCTGGAAAAAAAATCTGCCTCGTCAGTCATGTATTGAAAGATACATGATCACCTAAGCGTGTATAACGCATGGCACATAACTGAATGACTGACTTTTGAACTACTGTAACAACAATGTGAGCATTAATATTCTTGGAAGCTAAACATTTTTTTCCGTAGGTATTTGCTAAATCTACGATGCCAAATTCTACTCATTTTTAAGAGAAGTCGCTACTAGTTACTTTTGAAGTTTTCTTTGAACAGTCAGTTGGAAAGAAACAATGCAGTTATAAATAAGAGGACTTAAAACCAATGCCTGCAATATGTCAATATGTCAATATGTCAATATGTCAATAAGAGGACTTAAAACCAATGCCTGCAATATGTCAAAGCTCTAACACCAATTCCTCATATTCAGCCTGTGAACTTTTCAGCCCACTGTCGTATTTATGATATTTTCCCTTTATAATTGGAAGTTAGTCCTTTCTTCATGATTTCCTCTGCTTCTTTGTTAAGGAGGTCCGGGAGTTTTGCTTCGGTGTCCTTTTGTCTCTTGCCATCTGTCATCTGCGTGTCTTATAACAAATTCTGTAGGCTCTCCATTTCTGTCAGGATAACCTCGCTGTAGAAATTAAATAAATGCAAATAGAAGGCAAATCTTTGTTCTACAGTCTTCTTTTTTCGTATATCTAATCAATTCCTTTTTCTATTCCAGCCATTTAAAGCCATTTTGTACCAGTATGAGTTCTGGAATATTCTAATATCTTTTACAATTAGATGTGTTTTTTTTTTCTCGAAGTCGAAACAAAATCTTGTGTCGTACCTTGTCAAATACTGTTGTGCAATCTATAAAACAGGTAGTAACGCATTTTTTAAAAAATTTTAAATAATCTAAACATTTGATTTTATTTTATATTTTATGTATTTGTTTTTTCAGCTTTTCTTTTTTTTACTTAGAAAAAAATTTTAAGCGCGTTATTATTCTAGATCTTTATCAACTTCTTCAATGTCGTATCGAAATTGAAAAGATGTTTATTTAGATAGAGTATACATTAGGCTGTAATATGAATTGTTGAAAATTAAATTGTTAGGTGTTTCAAGGCTGTTTAACTCGGAGTTATGATTTTTCTTTTCTTTTCTTGGAATTCCCACTGCTTAATCGATAACCCATGATATCAAGTATGAAGGCGTTTTTTCCTTTATCCCTAGCTTAATTGATAATCCTTTGATATCAAGTATGAAGGCGTTTTTCTCCTTTATCCCCGGCTTAATCGATAATCCTTTGATATCAAGTATGAAGGCCTTTTTCTCCTTTAAAACCGGCTTAATCGATAACCCTTTGATATCAAGTATGAAGGCCTTTTTCTCCTTTAAAACCGGCTTAATTGATAATCCTTTGGCATCAAGTATCAAGGCGTTTTTTTCCTTTATCCCAAGCTTAATTGATAATCTTTTGATATCAAGTCTGAAGGCGTTTTTCTCCTTTATCCCCAGCTTAATTCGTAACCCTTTGATATCAAGTATGAGGGCGTTTTTTTTAATTTATCCCTAGCGTAATTGATAATCCTTTGTTATCTAGTCTGAAGGCGTTTTTCTCCTTTATCCCCGGCTTAATTGATAATCCTTTGATATCAAGTATGAAGGTGTTTTTCTCCATTATCCTCGGCTTAATTGATAATCATTTGGCATCAAGTATGAAAGCGTTTTTCTCCTTTATTCCCGGTTTAATTGATAATACTTTGATATCAAGTATGGCGGCGTTTTTCTCCTTCATCCCCAGCTTAATTGATAATCGTTTGAGGTCAAGTGTGATGGTGGCTTTTTCTCTTTTATCCACTACTTAATTTATAATTTTTCAATATCAAGTACGAAAACGTTTTTCTCATAAAAGAGAGCATATTTGTGAGTGAGTGTGTTAGTCTTGTGCGTGTGGGTGGGCGTGCGTGTGAGCGTGTGTAGAGGAGTATAGGAATTTTCTTTTTTTTTTAGAATGTGGAAAATTTCCTGTTGCCGATCATTGTGTGCGCCAAAACTCCTCTGTAGGCACGTCCACTCCATTTATGGATTGAGGAAGCCTGAATTTTGGATTCTCTCGTTCTGATGGAAGTGGAGTGCCCGTGAACGAATTTGTTTTGGAGGAAAACTGATTTGCGGTTTTTTCGCCTTCAAAAAATCTTTAAAAACCATTTGCATTCTACGATTGACATTTTCATACAGCTCGTATGTTGGTTTATTGATCACCACCAGCAGGGTCACCTGAGTGAAAGAATCTGAAATTTGATCAACCTGAAACTCCTAAAGATCCCAGTGCAACGTCCCTGATGTTATGGCAGCGGTCATCTTATCCTTCTGCGTTTGTATTGCTCACGCCGATCTCATTCTGATCTTAAATATAGCATTTCTTCGGCATTGTGCCACAGCTAAGCTACGCTTAAAAAATCACCATGAATATAGCATTTCTTGTTCCAGAGTCTTTGACAAAACTGTTGTGTTATGGTACTATTTCTCATCTGTTCATCTTTGCTTATCATGCTCAAATTCGGCTGGTTCCGGAGGCTAGAAGCAATGGAGATGTTCATTCGTTCAGGCTGGCGAGAAGTAGACATGTTACCTCGCCGAGAGCTCTTCTGTAGCTATGGCTTTGCTCACAATGTTCATGTTATTTTATTTATATAATATACACCAGGTGTCGTTTATGCTGTCAATTTGACCTTATCGAACCGAGCAAATTTATAATTAAGACAGGGGTAAATAATAGTGTCATTAGCAGAGGTACCGAGTTGAGAAACGATGACCTCAGGAATGACATTGATGAAAACTAGGAACAAAGTAGGTTCAAGCATAGACCTATGGAGACCCGCATTCGACCTAAATATGTTCATATCTATCTATCTATCTATCTATCTATCTATCTATCTATCTATCTATCTATCTATCTTCACATCACTATCTCTCTATCTGTATAAATATGTTCATATCTATCTATGTATCTTCACATCTCTCTCTCTATCTATCTATATAAATATGTTCATATGTATCTATCTATCTATCTATCTATCTATCTATCTATCTTCACATTTCTCTCTATCTGTCCATATAAATATGTTAATATCTATCTATCTATCTATCTATCTATCTATCTATCTATCTATCTATCTATCTATCTATCTAAAATATGTTCATTATCTATCTATCTATCTATCTATCTATCTATCTATCTATCTATCTATCTATCCACCTAAATATGTTCAAATCTATCTATCTAAATAAGAATGGTAATCTATTTGTTCTGTAAACGTTTATTGTCCACTGACAATGAACAAGACCTGAAAGAGCTATACACAATAGTAAGAATTACATGAAACATGGTAATCCTATACTATCTATCTATCTATCTATCTATCTATCTATCTATCTATCTATCTATCTATCTATCTATCTATCTATCTACACACATCTCTCTCTCTCTCTCTCTCTCTCTCTCTCTCTCTCTCTATCTATCTATCTATCTATATAAATATGTTCATATCTATCTATCTATCTATCTATCTATCTATCTATCTATCTATCTATCTATCAAACCGGAGTCTCGGTCTCCGCACGTTAGTTAATCTCGATGATTTTCTAACCCCAGTAAAAATCAACGGTGAACCACTCCACAATGTTTTTTCAAGATGCCATGATTTTCGTAGATAATGAAGAAAAGCAGTCCATGGAGAGACAATATGGTGTCAATTCTGAATAGAGGCAGAATTTGAAAATGAAAAATTTCAGATATGAATATTTTAAGTTCTCTGTGCACTACAAGCATCTTCAAGTCAAAGGGTCAATGTTTATCTCTCCGCTTTATCCATTTTTTAAAAATCAACTCACCCCATTCAAGTTGATAAAGCCACTAAGACCTACTGAGAGAAACTGAGAAATCGTCACTGAGGAGAAAGGACAATAAAAGATTCGGGGAGACAATATGATATTTGATATTGCATTTAACGTTTGTAATATCTTCGTTGACAGCGCAGGAAGTCCGAAGAGATTTCCATAAGTGAGAATAGTGAGTAAAGAAACATTTACGGCTACATTTAGCAAATTCCCTTATAAAAATATGGGACCTAACTGTTAATCTAGTACTGCGCTGGAATTCTTGAATTCGAAATGGGTAAGAGGAAAATAAATCCCAACAATTGCAATGAAAATATTTATAGAAAAAGTACAGCGGAAGTACGTGAGAAAGTGATTGAAGCCGAGGGGGGCATATCTTTGGTGATAGCATTGCAAATTCTCCATGTCAGAAGCACCAGATCAGATGTGGTAATAATATTTAATGCAATGACGATTGGTGCAACTATAAAGCTGAAAGATATTTTCTGGCGAGAAAAAAAATTGTCTAGCACAACACCTTATGCCACATTTCTTAGCAACAGGTTTAACAATTCATTCGATATAATTACTCCGATTCATATGAACTCAAAACGTTCGACTGCCGTGGTGCAGTGGGTTACTCTCTTGGAGGCTAGCATCAGCCATGTTGACGAAAGTTAAAAAAAGATTTCTTACTTCTTACCACCTATAATTTAATTCATATACCACAACGTATTCATGTTAATTATTTTAACAATAACAACCTTCCATGCGTGACTACGGATAGTCTATTATGTGAACTTTATTATATAAAAAAAAAATGCTTATCAAATAATCTGATATCAAATATTTGATGCAATCTTGACATTTCACTTCGATGGGTATTATATTCATTATCCAGTTAACTTACCTTTATACTTATCTTAGATCAACTGTAACTATAATTCTAGATTAATTCAAGCTTTTCTGATTGTCCCCTGCATTTCATTTATAACCCCCCATCTTGTCCAAGTTCTTGTCACCCATTAATAAAATATAATAGTATTTGTTACCAGCTATGACACGAATTTTTACTAAACGACAAAATCGTAAATAGAAAAAAAAAACGAGATTAAAATCGTGTAACATAACAATGAGGGCCGGCGTGTCATTAGAGTTCATTCATAATTTTCATTTGTCTGTGTCATATTCTAGCTATCAGCGATCGACGCACTTACCTACCTACCTTAGACTTTACATCTATCTGAAAGAAATGATCTTTTCGTCTGTCTTTAGGCAATTTATATAACAAAAGTTTTTCTTCTTTTTTTTCATCCAGGAATATTTCTTTTTAAACAAAATTAGTGTTTTAGAAAATCTCTTAAAAGCAATACTTTTCGTCGGCTTCCATCTATCGCCAACATAGTAAGCACTCTCCTTGTCTGGAAAGAAATGCTGTATTTAAATTGGTATAGCTGTTTCCTTTGTCAACAAAAAAAAAAGCGTATTCAAACACATTCTTTAAAATATACCTGCTAATCGAATAGTACTAATTTAATATCAGCTAACTGAAAAGGTTCGTTAGGTTTCGTAAGTAAAATTAAAAACACTTTCTGTTATAGATAGCTTTATTGAATTTGAGAACAAATTCATGAATTTAAGCGTTCTACTAGGCTGGTATCTCGCTCCCACCCGTCCACAGTCGAAACTGTCAAATGTAGACGGCACTTCTACGCCAATAGCTTCATGTCTCGCACCTCTCGCCTGTGGAACTGCCTCCCCTTTTCCTGTTTCCCTGATAGCTATGATCACCAACTATTCAAATGTAATGTCAATCGACGTCTCCAAATGCCTTGATCTATCCCCTATCCTTCTCTTCATTCTTTCCTCTATCACTCCTATTTGCTCTACCTCCAACTCTCTGTAACCCCTTGCGTGCTAGTGGCTTCCCGCCTTGCTTGGGGTGAAACGCTTAAAAAAACAAACTAGCTACAAGCGCTGCCAATCGAATTCTTCATGTACCGGTTGCCAATAAGTTTTCGTGATTACCTGGAGAGAATCTGAATCGTTTTCGGGTTTTCATGAAGGACATTCAGTATCTGTCTATATTTCTGAGATAATATATTATGTACATTATGTACATTATTCCAACTATTGCCATCATCTTTGTCGCCATATTTATTACCACCTTTCGGCCGTTGTACGCTCCGACTTTCTTCAGGTGGTTGGAATGTCGAACTGAACCTTTTATTTCGCTCACTGGGGTAGACTGTTCTAGTTCCACGTGCCATGTTTAATGGATGTCAGTTATCAGTTATCTCCTGCTAATTTCTCTCTGAAAGTTCTCCACTGCCTTAAACCGTTATTGAACTTACATTCTTTGGGTCCTGTCACTGGATCTAACTGACACCTTTATCCATTGTGCCATGTGGCCTTGAGGAATCTGTGTATCCATTTCTGGGTATTATAAACCTAATGCCTCAGTAAACAGTTTTACCAGTGCTCATATGGCAACTTTTGCTGTTATTATCGCTTTTCTCTGGCACTCCTTATTACTGGTTCCCATATTGTATTCATTTCTACGCTTGGTCGGCTCAGAATCTGATTCGTTTTCGGGTTTACATCATGAAGGATATTACCACCCACTGATATGAGACCCAGCCGCCTGATTCCCTGGCTTATTGTCAACCACTATACCATTTCCCGTGATCATTTGAACACTCATCTTAATTTCTGACCATCTGAGTTGATTCTCGGATATCCTTGTACGTTACATTTACCTTTATTTGCAATGTTACCATTTTCTACTGCCATCTTCTTCACACTTATGGGCAATCCCATAATTTAAATCTCCTAATTTGGTTCGTCTTGATAGCAGAGACAGAAAGGAGACTACAGGAGATACTGTAGGAGTTAGTGAAGGAGAGCGAGAAGAAAGGACTAAACATCTATTACAAAAAGACAGAATGCCTAGTTGTTCTAGTTCCACGCGCCATGCCTCTTCCAGATGTCTCAGATATTTCCCTTTAACTCAATTCTCCAAGTTTCGGTTCACCATGGCCCAGTAGATAGAGACCTTGGTTAGATCCAGGGACTAGACCCAAAGAATTGTGGGTTCAATACAAGGCTACAGCAGTGGTGAACCAAAATTTGGAGAGTTGAGTTAAAGGGAAATAACTGAGACACCCAGAAGAGGCATGACACGTGGAAATAGAACAATCTACCCCGGTGGACGAAATAAAGGGTTCGGTTCCAAATTCCAATCATCTGAAGAAGGCCGGAGCGTACAACGGATGAAACGTTGTGAATCTGGCAATGAAGATGAAGATAACAGTCCGAATAACGTAAATAATGCAAGTAATCATAATACCTCATCTCAGAGATATAGACAGAAATCTTTTTCTCTCTTTTTTTAGTTCTTGTGTTTTTCAGTTCTTTCTCCTTCCTTCTCTTTTCTCCTTCCTTCTCTTTTCTCCTTCCTTTCGTCTTCTTTCTTTCAATATTTGCCTTCGTTTCTCTTCTTTTTTTTTACCTTTAATTAAATTCTATCAATTTTCTTTCCCTCATTTCATCATTTTCACCCCGACTTCATTCCACGCTTTTATCTGGCGTACTTCATTCTTTTTTTCTTCTTTATGATTTTTCTTTCAGTTCTCATTCTAAACATTAATTTCGTTTTATTCATTTATTTTCATTTATCTTACTTTTCCTATCTTTCTTTCTTTCTTTCTTTTCCTTACAGACAATGACTTCTTTCATTCTTTCTTTCTTTTTCTTTCTTTCTTTTCCTTAAAAGGTCTTCTTTCTTTCTTTCTTTCTTTCTTTCTTTCTTTCTTTCTTTCTTTTCCTTACCGACAATATCTTCTTTCTTTCTTTTCCTTACAATGTCTTCATTCTTTCTTTCTTTCATTGTTTTCCTTACAAAAATGTCTTCTTTCTTTCTTCCTTTCTTTCTTTCTTTCTTTCTTTCTTTCTTTCTTTCTTTCTTTCTTTCTTTCTTTTCCTTACAATGTCTTCTTTCCTTCTTTCTTTCTTTTCCTTACAATGTCTTCTTTCTTTCTTTCTTTCTTTCTTTTCCTTACCGACAATATCTTCTTTCTTTCTTTTCCTTACAATGTCTTCATTCTTTCTTTCTTTCATTGTTTTCCTTACAAAAATGTCTTCTTTCTTTCTTCCTTTCTTTCTTTCTTTCTTTCTTTCTTTCTTTCTTTCTTTTCCTTACAATGTCTTCTTTCCTTCTTTCTTTCTTTTCCTTACAATGTCTTCTTTCTTTCTTTCTTTCTTTCTTTCTTTTCCTTACCGACAATATCTTCTTTCTTTCTTTTCCTTACAATGTCTTCATTCTTTCTTTTCTTTCATTGTTTTCCTTACAAAATGTCTTCTTTCTTTCTTCCTTTCTTTCTTTCTTTCTTTCTTTCTTTCTTTCTTTCTTTCTTTCTTTCTTTTCCTTACAATGTCTTCTTTCTTTCTTTCTTTCTTTTCCTTACAATGTCTTCTTTGTGTCTTTCTTTCTTTCTTTTCCTTACAGACATTGCCTTCTTTCTTTCTTTCTTCAATGATTTTCTTTCATTAATTCATTTTGTCTTACTGTCGCTGTTCCTTACTTGAATCTACATTCTTAAAATTTCTTTTCTTCCCTGATTGTTTTCATGCCTTCTATCATACATCCTTCTACTAGTTTCCAATATTTAATTGGTTTTATCCTTCTTTTTCTTCAAATACTTTTCCTTCTTTCTCATTTCTCTTCTTCTATCTTATTTCCTTCGATTCTTATTCCTACTTTCAATCGGTCTTTTGTTCTCGCTTTCTGCCATGACCTTCTCATCCTGCTTTTAACTTTCTTTTTTCATCTTTTTCTTCTTTATATCCTCTTCGTCTTCTAGCATTTTCCTTCGCTCCATGTTGTTGTTGTTATTGTTGTTGTTGTTGTTCTTCTTCTTCTTCTTCTTCTTATTATTATTATTATTATTAATCCTTCTCCTCTTCCTGTTCTCCTCCTACTACTCTTCTATTATTCTTCATCCTCTTCTTATTCTTTTATTATTCTTGATCCGCCTCTTATTATTATTATTATTCCTCTTCCTTTTTACTCTTCTTCATCCTCTTCCTTCTTCCTCCGAATTCTTCTTCTTCTGCCTTCTCCTTCTTCCTCTTCCTTCTTCCTCTTCCTCTGCCTACCTCTTCTTCTTCCTCTTACTTCTTCCTCTTCCTTCTTCCTCTGCCTACCTCTTCTTCTTCTGCCTTCTTCCTACTCTTCCTTCTTCCCCTGCCTACCTCTTCTTCTTCCTCTTACTTCTTCCTCTTCCTTCTTCCTCTGCCTACCTCTTCTTCTTCTGCCTTCTTCCTACTCTTCCTTCTTCCTCTGCCTACCTCTTCTTCTTCCTCTTACTTCTTCCTCTTCCTTCTTCCTCTGCCTACCTCTTCTTCTTCTGCCTTCTTCTTCCTCCTCTTCCTTCTTCCTCTGCTTCTTCATCTTCTTCTTCTGCCCTCTTCTTCTTCTTCCATCACCACAGTCATCTTCTTCTTTTTCTTCAATAATTCCATTATATTCTTTTCTTTCGTCTTTATTTTCGATGTCACCCTTCCCATGAATTCTTGTTAACATTTACGCTTTAATTTCAAGAGACTACGGATTAAAAAAATATCTTGCCAACACACCGAAGCGTAAAGTGAATCAAGATTTCCAATCTCAGAATGCCAGGACATTTTTGACCCTTATTTGCAATGTCTGTGGCATTTCATATACAAGGAGATCTTGACAAATATTAAAGCTGATATTCGAAAAAAAACGTTTGATACTTAAGATTTTATCAAGTATCGAATACTTCAAAACAATTTACTTAAATAACTGAGATTGACTATTGTCGTTATATTTGATTTTGTTCTTTCAAATATTTTGTTTTCAAACGAAATAATTTCTAGAAATCTGATTTCAAGTATTATTATTTACTCGTGATTTATTTACACGTGTATAACTATTTCGGTTGTTTTTGGCGGGCTGTTTTCTTAAGTCTTAATTCCAGATGCTTTTAAATATACTAGTTTACTGATATCGCAATAAAATGGCAGCAACATATAAGCAGTTATAAGATACTAGAATTTTTTGCAACACTCTAATTCGTGTTGAAATTCTCACAGTATTTAGTACTATCAATGTTAGCGATATCTTCAACATTAGTAAAAACTGTGATGATTTCAAAAGACATTTAGTATATGTAAAGCCTTAAAGAAAAGATATGCAAAAAAAAAAACAAAACAATATTGCATTTTTATTAGATAAGTATTTGTTATTTTATTTATTAAATTTCTATCTGTCAGCGTATGATTAATTTAAAGGTTTTGATCAAAGGACGGACTAACAGAAGTCACATAATTTTATATATATAGATGAGCGTGTCACTAATTGTTTAGAACGTTTGCTTCCTGTCTATGAGGTGGAGGTTCGAATATTACCATAGTCGATTATTCAGTGAAGTGATTTTGATTAATGTCAGACTATGGAGGCAATCCCAGCTTGAGCACGTTTGGGAAACGTTTGAAAACCATACCATGAATGAGCTCAAACATTTTGAGTAGAAATGGTTAGACGGAACAGTTCGAAAGCCTTCCATGGTTGCGCACAATACACTCGGTCACGATGGCTTCTGACATCGTGACCGAGTGTCTTGAGCGTGCTGGTCTTGTTTTAAAAAAAATTGTTCACTCCAGATTGTGCGTTCTCTCGCAGAAACTGAAACTAAGGCCCGCTTAGCCTAATTGCAGTATAAACCCCAGAAGGACTCTGTGGGTTGAGCAGGCGTCTATAATAGGGATTTGAGCCCTGCTAGACGGCTGTGTCCGGGAATGAGTAATAGCTAGCCATAGGTAATAGGTTATAGTTTCCACGTGAGTAATGTAAAACCTTTTTAATTTTATGACGTATAAGAAAGAAATATATTTTCAATTCTTATTTTGAAATTCAAATATCTAAGCTCATGGCCACATCACGTTGAAAACCAGTTCCTGTATGTTATAGTGGAACACACCTATTCTATAGTTAATAGACTCTCCTACTTATTATAGGTGGGAGAGTCTATTAACTACTAGCAGTAGCGCCCGGCGTGGCCCGGGGATGTAACAGTAAGAGATCAAGTATCGACCATCATAAAGACTGAAAAATAAAATTGACAAAGATTATTTTTTAAGGTTGACGGACACGCATGTCTTAATTAGATTTTTTTTTTTTTACGAATTGGTCAATTCCAAACTCAAACAAAAACATTGTTTTCAATCGTTATGAGTCTACCGATTGAATAGAATTTTATTATAAACAATTGTCTTGTAAATGGAATTTTGAAAGTATTCTGTATTTAAAAATAAAGAAAAAAGTGTGCAAGACAATAAGAAACACTACTTGCCAAAAAAAGTTATGTTTTGTTGAAATCGGTTGAAAAATGTAGGAAATCCGATCCCATACACACACACACACACACACAGAGACAACCTGGGTTTTATAATAAGTATAACTCGATATGAGTTGTTCCTTCTTTCATTCTCACGATGACTCTTAATCGTTTTTTCAAATAGATTTCGTGCAAAAACAATTGTGTTTTTCCAATTTGGGGCGATGTCAGAACCACCTCAAGGTAATTTTACTTAGTCCTGTGAAGTTTTGTTGAAATCGGTTGAAAAATGTAGGAAATCCGATCCAATATATAAACATACAGACACACGCACACACACACACGCAAGCAAACAATCTGCGTTTTATAATAAGGAAGATAGAATAGGTGTGTTCCACTATAACACTGTACGATCACCAAAGTTAAGCAACGTCGAGATTGGCTAGTACCTAGATGGGTGATCACTCTGGAATAACAAGTGCTGTAAGCTTAGATGTTCTGATGTTAATCGGAGAGCCGAGTTCCAATTCCAGTTGGGTTCGTTATATCCACTTACACATAGATACTCGTCGGAAAAGTATGGAGCCATCTCTTCACTCGCCAGCTATGCAGTAATCAAATCATTATTACCGCCAAAAGAATTCTTACAATGTAAAACAAATGCGGCTTTAACCTGAGAAGTGTTGATCAACCGTAGAAAACCAATCAC